CCGAGGCTTGGAGACGGCTTAATGGCGGGGACGCCAAGGATAATTATATACAAAGAAACCTGATATTTGCATGCGTCTGAGAAGCAGTGATGTTTAATTCTGTCTCTTAACGAGGCCACCTAAGACAAAATTGAATGCCATATGGTGAAATGAAATGTTTCCACCTACTGTCCCTTTCATCTGTTGAGCATGATGAATGTTCAAGTCAGAAATACGGAACCGGTCTGTCATTTATTGCTCACACTTTTCCCTGATAAACCCTACTAATCAATTTGCTCATCCGCTGCATAGATATACATGTGCATACAATTTTAATCGTCTCTGTTGACATGGATCGTGATTTCGTTTACTCATATAGTTGACTGAAATGATAAACAAATGACATAACGTACATTATCACACAGTAGTAAAATGGTGACGTGTGTCATTAAATTCTACCTATACGCAGTTTCACTCATTCACCAGTGACCCTAAGCGGTTTGACAAAATTATTTTTTTTATATTATATTTGGTTGCTCTCGTTTTAATTTTATAGCAAGATTATTTAAGAAAATTGACATTTTGAACTTTCGAACTTCTGACCTAATTACAGCTACATGTTCACACCTGATGTTCTTGAATGGGTTGAATGATAATTACATAGAAAAATGAATGAGAGACTCAAAGGTGTTTGATAATCAGATAAGATGGCATACAGGCAGTGTTGTCCCTTTGGCTAGTGATAGAAATGAGAAGATCTAGAGTGTATTGCAAACTAAAGTAGTCGACTAAAACCGTGAAAAGTCTATGTTAATAACACCACTACATAGGAGAAGGGGTCCAGCAGGTGCCACACAGCTATCTGTCATACGACAGACAATAGCGACAGGGCAGCTAGCCACTGACGCTGAAAAGGAGGACATTTTTCACCATCTGAGTTGGCCCAACTTGAGAAGTGGCTCAAATATGGATTCAGAGAGGACATTTTCTGGCATTTGTTTGGGCGGTTCTTTAAAACACAACGAGCCCTCCCCTCCCCTCCCCCCAGGTCACACCCACCCATGGGCCTAGATTTTACTTCGGATGGTATAAGGCAAATAACAAAAAAAAAAAAAAAAAAAAAAAAAAATGGCGATCAAAGCGATCTCGGGGGAAATAATAGACAGTGGAGGATTCTTTGACCATCATATCAAAAACACGGATGTAAAGTGTTAATTTTGCCCCATTTCTTTTCTTTCTTTCTTTCGTTTTTTTTTACTTTTTTGTTCAGGGGTGAGGGCGAGAAGGGAAAAAAGATGGGACCTCAGAAGTAAAGGGAGGGGGACGTGTCCGCCGAGCCCTTTCCCGTTTCCTATATAATTGTACTGGTAAATTAATATACTGTGAGATAGTGACTTGATAAAACCGCGGAAGTAAGATTGTATCTCAAAACAGTGGCCCCAAGTTATGACTACGTGATGATATTTTGTTTGCGGTTTCGCCGACGGTCATGCATGTTATGTCCAGTTCATGTCCAGTAATGAATTCCGGCCAAAGTGTTAAGTAATTGTATACATTCTATCTTTCAGGCACAGATTGAAAATTTATCGTGTTTGCTACAGTACACTGTACATTTATAGTGTACATGAATCTACCAGAGGACAACTGAGTGATGACGTCATTTCTATAAATAAAAATCTCACAATACAAAGAAATGCACGTAAATAGTTTGATAAATATATTTATGTGAATACCTAGTGAAATCAATCAGTCATGTAAACGTACTTGTACGTCAACGGTACCATCGAAAACACCTGATGCTCTTGTGGGCGACAAGAAAGAAATGATGAAACTCTTGGTCACAGGAAAACGCATGCATTTATCACATAACCTTTTAATATTCCTAATATTTATCATCACATTCTTGATATCATACACACTGTTCAAGTTGTACAAATATTTAGATAGCGATTGGTGAAGATGAAAAATAGCAAAGAAAAAAATCGAAGGCTGTACAGTGTTAAATAATATACTTGGGAATTATATATTGCACTGTGGAAATGTAGCTTTAGCGAGAGTATAATGATCGTCAATTTACTCGTGTATTGTTGCGAGTTGGCTCTAATGGACGATTTTATTTCATTTGTGGTTAAGAAAAATAGGAGACACAACCACAGTAAATGCACCTCTTCAACTGGCCGTTGTCAAGTGATACATCGATGACTGCATGCACCAACACCTACAGTATGATCTCGTGGTTCCGCGTTCGTTCGTCCCCTCTACCAAGGCTTTAGATGATGATTCTCTCTATAAATTCTTGCCTCTGCATGTACCAAGGCCACAGATTGATACTTTAAGTAGAAATCCTCAGTTAAATGTATGTCTCCGGCTAATTCCATACACTTAACTATACTATACAGAGAGAATTTAAATGTATGGGTTTATTAGTACCAAGCTAGTCTCTAGAGTAGAATACAGTACCGCGTTTGGGGATTCATTACGTTTTCGCCTGTTAGCTAAATAATAAGAAAAACAAATCTGTAAGCTATTTATCAGTGTCATCTATGGGCAGAAAACATAAAATTTATGCCGCCCATTAAGTCGTGCACGTTCTGAAATCTTTATGTTGCTGCTGCGTGTACTTAAAAAGTGATGAATGATAATATGCGGCGTGAATAATAACGGAAGAGGGCAGATAGAATCAGCACTACCCTCGTTATCCTAGCGATGGGCTGAAATACACAGATATATCAAAGGAAGATAAATACTGTATGATAAAATCATCTTTCTTAAGACCTGAAATACATACGCTGTACAGTGTACAGTGTACTACATGATATATGTAGCTGTCAAAACCACCGATCAGCTTATACAGACTCCTAAACAGACAGACTATTGATCGTCTGCGTGAAGCATCATGTGTAACATACTGTTTGATGAATTAACCCGTCAGGCGTCACGCACAGCTATCTGTAACCCTCTACCAGGGTGGCAGATTATATAGAGATCAACGAAAAAAAATTCACATAGCCAAATGACTGTGTATTTATCTAGAAATAGACGTATTTTCATCGCTGATGGCCTAGGTACCAGTGCGTACTGAGAAATTCTTGAGCAGAACAACCACAAACACAAATACCCCCGGTACATGCAGGTATACTTTAAAGTCAGGCGATGCTACTGCCATGTCTCAATAAAGACAGAGAAGAATACCCTCATCCTTCTAATCTTTCTGGTAGTTACTTTTTGCCTTGGGGTGGGTGTGTGTGGCCTCCTCAATACCGCTTACCGGACACACCCTCTGAGCTGCAGAACACCAGTTTTTTATGTGTTTTCTAGGCGGGTCCTAGGTGACAGGATGCAATTAAATTATTTTGCCGACGAGTCATTACAACAGTAAAACTATATTTATCCTACACGTACAGCAACACCGCTCTCTGACCTCAGGGGATTGCGGGGGGGGGGGGGGGGGCGCTGATAGTCTGTTTCAAGAATGGTGAATGGCGCCCCTGTTTTATTACACCAGGCTGTTTAAGTGGACCAATTCCCACAGAGGCTCACATTTTAATTTTGGATACTGTTTCAAGAGCTCCTGATATCAGGGGCACATCAACACCAGCCTTTTAACTTAACCGTGGGCCTACATTTACTCACTTGTTTCGTTTTTGCGTCCGCCTTTTTTTGCACCCCGAGTTTCTTATCTTAGATTCTCTTATTTTCAGTTGCAATATTGATAGTGTATTTTTAGAACTTAAATATCTTATATAAATCTATGGAAAGAGAAGCGACAGTAATGCCTACTATACCAGTCGCACATGTGCACACACTGTTGGTGTTTACTGTAAACAAAACTCAAAACATCTGATTGTTCACAATTTGCTCTCTGCCAATACATATACGATGTAATATATAAAAAGTCAACACCGTAGGAAAAACTAAAAGGGCAAGAAAAAATACGTCATGCCTGGCAAATGCTATTAATATCTGGCAATAAGCACCATTTATGAGAAACAACTCGGCACAATGCCATAGTCCTTTCTCGCAATTCAACCGATGATACATAGTGGGACAAATACAGTGTACAGATAATAAACTGTCATACAAAAACTAGTGCCCCAAGTGAAAACAACCACCACTTATTTGATAACCAAGTCTGCCATAGTGCATTGAAAACTGTGCACAAACTGCCATGGCTGTAAGATAACTATCACTGATGATGGAATCAAACCTGCCAGAGGTAATGTAATCAACTGAAGGTGTGAGAGAGGTCGTCCAAATGGTCCCGATAATGATAATGACAACGACAGTAATTACAGGACAAGGTGACAGAAACACAGCGCGGCCCCAATTCAAGGGACCCTCTTTAACACACGTTCATAGTTAATTATAACGAACGCTGACATAATTAACGATATATTTCCATGATCTAAGCAACCCGTGTGTCGTGCGTCTTTAATATAACTAAGGACACGTAAAAGTAACCAAGGGCGTTGCTATCGCTGAGAATCCGTGCCATATATATTTCCCATCATTTATTTCCTCGCGTGTGCAAAACTTGCTGTAGATAAGCCAGTATATTTATAGATATGTGTAATATAATTTTTCGCGATGAAAGGCGAGATTGTTGTTGCTCTACGTAATGCCACAGGAATCGAGAAAATAAGATTTTAGCATTTTCTTTCTCCTATATAACTTCTGTGAGTGTAGGAATTGTAATCGATGGTGACTCTGTCTAGAAGTAGTGTAAAAGAGAGACTGGAGTAGTGGTAATTAGTTAAAATATGTTTTTTTTCTGATAAATGTTAATAAATAGCCTGGTTTTAAAAAAGCCACACTGTGTAACCCAAAAATGGTGCTTAACTACCCTGTTGCAGTATATATATATATATATATATATCAAACCAAACATTGGGTCTGCTTTAGTTCGTGATTAATCCATCCTCAGCCACTTACATAAAGTACGTGGATCCGTCTGCAACATATATTACTCATATATTTATGTTCTGGTTGTTTTAAAACAGGCGCAGTATTTCATTTAGAGTCGCTACCAAGTTAGCGTGGGCCAAAGTTCGCTGAAATGTGGGTTTAAACAGTGTTTACGCTTGGGACTGTTAAATGTACAGGAATAAGTAAAGCAGTTGGTATGTGGTGTTTACGAAAAACATAACAGTCGACGAAATACACTGTTTTTTGCTTAGCCATAATGGCAAGATTTGTGACGTAATTAGTAAAAACACAGGCGGAAAGCTGATTTCCAGCTCATGACTTTACCAGCTCATGATTTTGCCATTTAATGAGGTCAGATTTTCTAACAGGTGTGCAAGAGGCTACCGCGTCGCCTCCTGGGCAATTAACTCTCTGTCTCATCTGCAGGTGAAAGGCGGTACCTTAGTGACGATACTGAAGGGTGATAGGTCGTTTGGTGACAGGCACTCGACAAACACCACGTCACGACTCGCTTTGCCACTGGGTTATCAGATCGCTATCACTGCCCACGGTGAAAGTAATAGCTACAGGGGATTCGAGGATATAAACAGCCGCTGCGCCGAAGGCAAAGCAGCATTTTTATATTTAAAAGTCGCCGTGACGGAGTGGACTATACCGGTTTTAGAATAGCCGAGTTGGAAAACAGGTGGTGTGACTCTCCAGACTTTCGGTAAGAATACAGCTCGGTAAGAATACAAGTACTTCCACGATACTGTGCGTTTTATACTACAGTATTGAGAGATACATATAACACTAACCGCGTGGCGTGCTTGACGTGGAAGTTATAAATACGAGTGCCTTTGGCAGGAACAGTGAGTTTTTAGCTTCACAGACAATTCTGATTTTTCCCTTAATTACAGTGGGAAACAGTCACTGATATGAAGGCTTTCCTCTTTATCGTCGCCACGCCTATTCTTCTCTGCCTTCACGGCACGGAAGGACAGACGGTCGTTCCCGATGATGTTCTCACACTTTCCACGGCAAACTTCGACTTTGCCTTGCAGCTCTACAACAAGCTGAAGGCAGGCGGTGATGGGAAGAATATATTTTTCTCACCGGTAAGCATCTCAACGGCGTTCGCTATGCTTCACCTTGGCGCGAAGGGCAACAGTCGGAGTCAACTCGAACAGGTGCTGAAACTGGACGCACTCAGCGGAAATAACGTTCACAAGGCATTCAAAGACCTCCACGCCCTTCTTAATTCACCGGCAACCAACGTGACCCTTCGCTCAGCCAACAGGCTCTACGCCAGCAACAAATACGAATCGTTCAAAGACCAGTTCTTCACGGACGCCAGTGAATTCTTCGGCGCCTCAGTCGAGCGAAAAGACTTTGTGGGCAAAGCAGAAGCCTCGCGCCAAGAAATTAACGGTTGGGTGGAGAAACAAACCGAGGAGAAAATTAAGGACTTGATACCAGCTGGCGGCATTACACCGGCCACCATCATGGTGTTGGTGAACGCCATTTATTTCAAGGGATTATGGCAGGATCCCTTCAACGCCAGCTACACCACCGAAATGCCTTTCCGCACCGGCGCCGGGAGGTCGACCAACATAAAAATGATGATGATTCCCGGCAAAACCTTCCCGTATGCCGAGTCCGCGGCACTCAAGTCAAAAGCCATTGAAATTCCATACAAGGGCACTGTTAGCATGGTAGTCGTTGTCCCCGATGACGTTGACGGACTAGCTGCCCTGGAGGCGAAGATGGATGTCACCGCAGCAAATGTGCTTCTCGACAGCTTGGGCAGGACTGATGTGAATAAGTTTTATTTTCCACAGTTCGAGCTGAAAGAGTCCCAGTACCAACTAAAATCATTTTTGACATCCATGGGGATGACCGACATCTTCGGACCAAATGCCGATCTTTCTGGGATCGGCGGCAATCCCGGGGAGTTACAAGTCGACGAAGCTATTCACAAGGCCTTTATTAAGGTTGACGAGCAAGGAACCGAAGCGGCCGCGGCTACAGCAATAACCGTCCGTCTCACCGCCCTAACTCCACAAATCGACGAGTTCAAGGTTGATAGGCCATTTTTATTCTTTATTCGGGAGAAGATGAGCGGATCCATCTTGTTTATGGGTCGTGTTGCCAACCCCCCGCCCGTCGGGCAGCCCAGATCGAACGCCATCCGGGATGGAACGGAAACAGACGACAACAGTTCCGCAGCAATTTTGGTGCCGTCATGGACTCTCCTATTGGTCATTATGTGGCGAATGTTGTAAAACGTGAACTTGAAATAGAACTCTGGTGTGTTTGACTGTGCATATAAATAAGAAGCTATAAAAAATGTCGTTTGAGCTGAACACCAAAGACTGGCGATTAACGGACGTTGCTGTGTGATGAAGCTGAAACGCAAAGATCTGCACAGTTTTTTCCCTCGTGTTTCTTCAGGGTTTGGTAAAATATTGTGGTTTTATCACTTGTGCAGGTGTACATTGTGTACCTACCTGCACCGCCATTTTACGAAATCTCATCAAATATTAATGGACTTTTTATCGCTGTAAAAGCTATGCGCCCGAATACCTTTTAAGCTTTAACGTTTTCGAAATCCTTTTATTTTGTGTACAGAAGTAATAAAGATTATCTTTTTATATAGCAACTTAAGATTTCTTTTTGTCTTATTTAATGATGGGAGACACGGTAAAGGCAACAGCTTGTTTTAGTAAGAGAATATATAGCTCTACGCAATGACTCTGTTTATCCCTCAACAGTTACATTGGAATGCCAAGTAGCAAAATTGACCCCGCATCTTCCAATTTCGTTCCAACGTTAACGCGTTTAATGGGGTTCCCACGTAAAGATGTTTTGTTTATCATTTTTGTTACGTCTTCATGAATAGTTACATATTTTGATGCCCTTGGAAAAGTAATTCCTGCGGAAATTCCAGAACCTGTGTGCTATGAATGCATTAACAATTCTGTCTTAAAAGCGGGCCCAGCTAAGATTGTGCTAAGTAGTGAGTGGTTGGGAGGGGGGGGAGGGGGGGGGGAGGTAGTGCCCCATTTTGACCGACAAATATGCTGCAGTAGAGGAGCACACTTTCAAAACTGTATACGAGGCACAGGAACGGACGGAGCGCTCGGCTTTGTCACGTTTGTTTTTCAGACTGGAATACCTCCGAAGCTAAGGAATCAAAAGAGCATGTGCCCCCCCCCCCCCCAGCCC